CAACCTCACACAGTGAAAGGTGCTCCTGCCCATGGCAGAGTCTTTGGACTACATAATCTTTAAAGGTCCCTTCCAACCCAAACCATTCTATGATTCTATGATAAACCGTAAACATTTTAGATTTTGTGATTTACTTCCATGCTGTAGAATAGAAAATTTTAAAAAACAGATAATATTTTCCCTTCCCTATTATGGTTCTTTACAAGAGTATAATGTGCTTGTTTTGATGGTGATTAGGATATAAACCAGTCACAAACAAGCAAAATCCCATAATGGGCATGCACTCTGGATCCTCCTTAGTTATACAGATGCTCATCTCTAGAAATACTAACTTTTCCATAAAGATGGACACACACACATGCACACAGCATTTACTAAGGCCAAACAGCAAAGTGGTTTTATGCCTGGGAAGAAAACTTTCAAATACAAAGCCTATAAATAGATTATATGTTGCCTTTCTGGCTCATCAAATAGCTTGAAAAAATGCTCTCAGGAGACATTAATTTGCAGCGTCCCCCCCCCTTTATTTCACTGAGACTTTAATTCTGCAGTCTAAATTTAAGACTTCATTGTCATTATGGGCATTGCCACCATAAGGGAAGCAAAGGCACTTTCTACATTTCTGTAAGCATCAGGAAATAAATCTGTACGGAAAGGAAACATCTCCTCATGTGCAGACACGAGGTTACTTGACATGAAAAGTATCAGGAACTAGTGCAATGACCAGTACAAAAACCACGAAGAGGCCTGGATAGAGTTGGATATGACAAAATAGAAAGCTGCATCAGATATATCCTGCAGTAGCTGACATGCACACTGCTGTCCCAGGATCTGGGACACTGTGCTTGCAGCAGCCAGCAAGGAGGTGGCTCAGGAGCATCTCAACATGGATGAATCTCAAATAAAACTTCTCCAGCCCTTACTGACACACTTGTTTCTGGTTCCTGAGTAGTTTAATTCCAAGGCTCTTTTGTATTAATAGTAAATCTGAAAGTGCAAAATGAAGCATGTGGTTCCATGGCTCACAGCCAGAGCCCACTCCAGCAAAGTGAGAGCAGATGCAACCCCTAATTCCAGAGACACTTGAGTGTGAGAAATGTTTTGCTATTCTTCCAGCCATTGCTGGAGGTAGGACAACCTCCCTGAGTAATAAACAGCCAGAAAACACCAAGCTTTAGGGCTGTTCCAACATTATCCTATAAACACCTATATTTCATGCAAATATCCACAGACTCTTTTACTCCAAAGGCAATCACTTTTGGGAAAGTCTCTCTTTTTTTTTGAACCCGTTTTAACTGTGTTTAACAACACAGAGCTCTAAGTCTTCCTCAGATGCATTGGACTTTGAGGGGACTCAGCTAGGAGGGACTGATGGAGTCCATGCACTGACGTTTCTCCTACAGGAGAATAAACTAGTGGGGAAAAATACAGAGAGAGGAGGAAAAAGAGAGGCAAGCTGTTATTGAAATATAAGGCAGTAAATTTTAAAAAGAAATAATACACCCTCATGAGCCACAAAGCTACTGCACATTTGAACAACATGGATTCCTTCATAAATAATTGGTTGTGTAGCCGCCTTGCTGAAGATGGAACTTCTCCTGCTGTTTTTTCCCTCTCTGCACACCACAAACATGGCCCAGCAGAAGTATTTTCAAGAACAAACATGCATAGAAGTACTTATACTCTGTGTTGCTATAACCAACCCCCATAAATTTATGCTCACGTAATTACTGTTCTCTGTTTGTCTACTGATAGGGAGTTAAAAATACCACCCCTCCCCCCCCAATTAGAACTGGTTTCTATTTTTTGTTAAATCCCTGCAGTTGATATTGAAGAAAATGTTGTGCTGAGCCACATGAGATCTCTCTTGCCTGTACTAGTCAAGACAGAAGACTGCAACAACACCAAAAAAAAATCTCACCAAAAGCATGGTATGCACAAATCAAGACAAATTTGACTGTGTTATGAAGCCATCAATCCTGTATTCTCTTTCCTTTCTTCATCTGATGCTTGGTATTTCTACAGTGGGAATAGATGTGTGCCAGGACCTGTTCTATCAGAACTTGTGTTCAGGCAAAATGTAGAATTTGTCTGCAATATCCAAATTCTTTATTTGTTTTCCAAGGTGTCCCTCACTTACACGGAATTACTTATCATTGATGTAGCACTTATTTTGATAGTAGAAATATGGACATCATCCCATGAATAATCTTGTGAGTCACGTGAAATTAATCTAGTACCGAATAAACAACAACAGTGAATTCTCAGCTTATATTCAGGTTGTAAAATCTTTGTCATCTCTTTATTATACACACGAGTTATCTCTTTGTTACACACAAATACCATATTTGCCATTAGGGCCTCTGAGACTCTATTTTTAAAAGCTTTGTGGAAGGAACTGTCTGGAAACATAAGGTCAACTTCTCCCCAAGCAAAACTAAATGAGACTGAGTATCTCAGTGCCTGTTTGAGATGGGAAAGTCAGGACATGCACACAGTTTCCCCTTCACTTCTGATAGGCTTCTTTGAGCAAATAACATAGCACAAAAACCAATGACACAGAGAAACAGCTCATATGTGAGACCAGGTGAAGCTTCAGCTGGCAGCCAGTGAAGACAGATATTGCATTACAAAAAAAAGAACAGATGCAACCATCCTAATATCATCTCCCACGTTTTGAGCAGCAGAGAAAATTCCGAATGCAAACATGACACTCTCCACTCAATGATGAGCTTGGCTCATCGCTTACAGGCCAGGATAAGCAGATGAAGAGTTTGGCTAAGGACTAAGAAGCAGAATTTTTTTTTTAGATATTGAAAAGCCAAGACATAATCAAGGTCCCAGAAGGATTTTCAAAAGCAATTAGGAGCCCAGGTTCTGTTAGTCCATTGGTCCTTCTGAAAATCCTATATAGTAGCAAATTAACTGCCTCATTGGACATCAAAATACCTCTGTGTTCTTGTGCTGCTTCTGCTGGGGACGGTCACCCTTGATTTCAGCAGGGCAGTCTTTTTTATGAAAAGGTGAGCAAGTTCTTTCCATTCTTTAGTTCACCTAGCTTCCTTCCAAAAGCAAAATTTTATCCTTCTCTTGTTTAATGAACACGTGACTGCCCCATAAACTATTTTAACTGAAATTACAAGATCAGCACTCAATCCCCAGTTCATGGTTGTGCAGGTCTTTGCTGTACAGAGAACAGTTTGCTTTCATCTGATTGAGGTTTATTTGCCAAAGATTTTGATTCCTCTCTGATCTGATAGTGCAGATTTGCAGTGTCTTTCTCTGGGTAGAAATCCCTCTTGGATTGGTAAATGACTCAAAGATTGCAGCATCCATCCCAGTCCCATTGGGTGGTGGTGGGCCAAATGCTGCCTTCTCTCTTTATACATCTCTACTGATAGGAATCATGCTGCCTGTGTGGGATTTTGGGACTGATGTTTGTATACATTTCGTCCTCAGAAACATGATACCAATCTATTGCACACAGACTGCAGAAGAATTGCACAGGGGTTTTTTTTAATTATTTTGTAGAAGAAAATGTTCCCTCAACATGATAAATGCTGAGCACGACTTTTGCTCAGGCTGCAAGTAGCAAACTACTTATTCATCTGCTATTTAAGTACCTGTTGGTTTTGTCATAAAGTGAAACTTTTGAGCAAGATCGTATTGCACGTGAAGTGGCTTCCTGAATCCTTAAATATTAATCTCCAAGTAAAAACAGACTGAAGGTAGTCCCAGGGTCACTTTAATTAAAGTCTGAGCTGCTGCGTCCCACTGTCTTGTATCCCACGTTAAATGTTCCTCGCCTTGTCTTTGTGCCAACACCAACATTTTCAAAGTCTCTGGGTGACCTTGGCAGGAGGATGGGGATGTGAACTGGGAGGGACCCATTCCTGGGGGGACACAAGGTCCATTACCAGTCAATGGGAGCAGGGACAAGGCTGGGAAACATGGCCAGCTCCTCAGAGAGAGGGTTTGTCAAGGACCTGTGGGTCTTAAGATAGTCAGATGATGGAAAGTGTTAAGGGGGCAATTGTGAACCGAAAGAAGCCCCTGGAAAGGAAAAAAATGGGGCAACGAGGGGTGGTAAAGAGTCAAGGTGGAGCAGAAAGGGTGGAGGGCCAGAGGGGTCCATGTAAGAAACAAGGATGTGAAAGGAAGGGCAGGAGCAGGAGCGGCAGGCGGGAAGCCGCAGGAAGGGAAGTGAGGAGAGAGACCGGGGCTCGAGTGTGCGGCACAGGGGGGCAAGAGACCAGGTGTGCGGAGCGGGGAGCTGAGACGAGAGGCACTTGGAAGAGAGCGAGTGATGTAAGGTGCGCTGCCTCTGGTCCAGCGCCTGGTACTGCCGGCATCGGCACTGGCACCGGCACTGGCACCAGCGGTGCTCGGCGAAGGAGCAAAGGGCACGGAGCACAGGACACGGTCCCGCCCCGAGTGCCCGGCGGGGCGGTCCCGGGAGGCGGGCGCTGTCCCGACCCTGGCACTCCTCGGCCGCCGGGGAACCCGCGCTGGAGAAGGGGCCTCCGCTGCCCTCGGGCATCGCGCCCTGTCCAGGCAGGGGTTGCGGAGGCGGCCGCTCTCGGGAGGGACCCCCCGTACCGCTCCCGGGGACCGCAACACGCCGCCACCGGGGCTCCCGAGGCTCGGCGCTACCCGGGGAAGGCACGGCCCGATCGCTGCCGCCTGCCTGGCGGGCACATCGCCAGGAGGCGGAGGCGACGCTGGCGCCGCCGCTGCCGGGGCCGAGCGAGGCCGAGCGCTCCCGCCCGGCAGCGGCCCCGGTCCCCACTGCCCGCCCGCCCCTCTCCACCCGCCCGGGGCGGGCCCGGGGCCGCCTCCTCCCGCTCCCCGCAGCGCATTCGCCGCGGGGGCCCCGCTCCAGTGACGTCAGCGCTGCCTAAAAAAGCGCCCCGGCAGGCAGGCAGGGCAGCCGGCAGGGCGGGCAGCGGCCACGGCAGTGGCCGCAGCAGCAGCAGCAGCAGCAGCAGCAGCAGCAGCAGCAGCAGCAGCAGCAGCAGCAGCAGCAGCAGCAGCAGCAGCAGCGACAATAGCAGCAGCGACAATAGCAGCAGCGACAATAGCAGCAGCGACAATAGCAGCAGCAGCAGCAGCAGCGACAATAGCAGCAGCGACAATAGCAGCAGCGACAATAGCAGCAGCCGCTCGCGCCCCACCGCCGACATGGTGTCCCCCGTCACCGTGGTGAGTGCGGGCCGCGCGGCGGGCGGGGGGAGCGGGACCCGCGCCCCTTCCCACGGGCACCCTCCCGAGAATCGATGTCCTCCCTCCTCGCCGGTGCTGCCCTCCCACCTGCTCCCCGAGGCGCTGCCCCCGAGGGCGGTGGGTGCTCAGATCTGCTCCGCTCCGCTCCCGCCGCCGCGAGTGCGACCATCGCCCGCGACCCCCCCGTCCCCCCTTGCCCGGTCCTCACCCCGGCCCCCCCCGGCAGCTGTTGCTCCAGCGGTGCGCCTGCACGGGCAGCTCTCCCTCGCTTCCTCCTCTTGTCACTTACGTTTTTATAAACATCTGTGATGTATCTGCTCTATGTGGACTGCATCTGTTCAGAGCGGCGCTGCCCCAGCTTGCCCCGGGCTTGCGCCGCGGTAGCGCCCGGGAGCATCCTCCAGCTCCCGCGGCCTCCCTTGCTCTAGCAGGCGTCTCCGCCTCACCATCCGGAGATGGCTTTGCTGTCCAGATGATGGCTTGGGCTGAGGCTCCTGTTGACCACCGTGTCGGGCAGACCTTACCACAGGCTGGATGACTTCCCGCTGAGACCTCTGGCTTTGCAAGCCAGTCTGGCACTTCCACCACATGAGACAGGGATGGTGTCACCTGCCTGTTTCATAGGGGAGTCACAATGCTTAATTAACGTAACCAGCAATAAGGTAGCACCTCACTGCTGTCCTGGAAGTTGGTGATGTGTGCAGCAGCACAGCTGGATTGATGGAGCAAAGCCAGTAACTGAAGTAGTCGTGGCTTGTGCCAGCAATACCAGGTCCTGGCCCTGCAAGGGAACCGGGGCTGTTTCAATGCTAAAAGAACAGCCAGAACAGCAGAGAAGCTGCACTGTTAGACATGCTGCTTTGCATGTTCCTCTTTCTAGAAAGCAAGGCATTTGTTGGAATAGCCCAGCAGACTAACACATGCGGTAAGAATAGCGAACTGTTGGTGGGAAAGTTGCCTGGTGCTTCGCTGCAGCACTGAACACCTACTGCTGGTATCCTGGTTCCCTGTCTATCCATTATTATCCTGTTTTGAAATATTTTGGTCAACGGCCAGGCCATTGCATGTTCTCTTGCAGGTAGAAATTTTGTCCTTTCCCTGTTCTTAACTCACAGAGCCGGGGTTCAAAACTTTTAAATTGCTTTGCCAGTTCTGCAGAGCAGCCTGTATTGTCTGATACTTCAGATGAATGTTCCCCCAGTTATTAACATGTACCTGCTAAGTTCATCAGCAGCCTGGGGATGACTTTTATCTCTAAAGACAGAGGGAAGTAGCTTGGAAATTATACCATTGTAGTGCCAATTTTTTTTTCGTGATTTTTGAAAACAGCTAAAGAGATTTGGTATCTGTGCTTCTGTGCCATAAGCTAAATTTGTACTTCAGTAATGCTTTTGGTTACAATGAATTGTGTATGTGTACCTTGGAAGTAAAATCTTGTGCTGGTACAATACTGGAATGGCTCAAAAACTGGCAGAATTTGTTTCACTGTTTGCAGGAGGCCGTACTTGGCTGTTAACCTGGTGCATCAGAGTGGTCTTGCAGAGTGTATTCCAACAGAGCTTTGAGAGGAGGCAAATGACTAAGGCATGAGTATGTGTTGGGAAGTGTGTACATAGTTCAGATCCGAAGGCTTTGCCTGCAGTTTAGGAAGGTAACTTGGGAAGGAAAATTTAAAAAAGCCCCGCTATCTTCACTTGCCCTTTTGATGTGTAACTAAGAACATTGTTGCTCTGGCTTCATCCCTGACATATGAACAATTTGCTTCACCAAAGGCAACTAACACAGGTGTGAAGCTGTGAAGAGCTGGAGGGATGGTGAGACCGGGAGCTGTGACCAGAGCTGCAGCTGTTTACCATGGCTGTAGAGGTGAGAGGGAAGGGTGTCTGATCCTCCACAGGGCTCACAAAACAAGAGATCTGCAAGCCTTCAGTCTGCTAAGGAGCAGTTCTTTGCACATCCCCTTCAGTGGGCTGTCACATTGCTGTTCCTCTGAAGGAGTGCACTGTGCTTTCTGTGTTGGCTGTCCCGCAAAGGGCAGGGGCTGAATTGGTGTCAAGCAGCAGCCTGTGCTGCCTTGGAGTGTGGTGCAGTCCTTGCACAGCTGCCAGCTGAGGGGGTGAGAAGCAGGGTGGCTGTACAGCAAGTGGGCTCCCTGTGACAAGTCGCTTGCTGGAGGGAAGAGCAGTGGCAACTGGTCTGGCCACGGCTAGGGGCTATAGCCTTGGGCCCAGGCCTTCTCTCTGTACTGCACTGCCTTTGCTGCATAGTTGGACCAGGTGTTTGGAGCCAGCATGACTGTCACTGCCATGACACATGATGGGGAGACTCTGGAGGGGCAGCACCTGAGGCATAATCAAATTAGCCATAGGAATTGATTTGTCTATAGCATATGTCCTCTCCCAGCACACTGCAGCATCAGCCTCTATGAGAAGGACACTAGAAGAGCACATCTGTGAGTGACTGGATTTTTATTCCCATTCTCAAAGCGATGGCCTTAGTACAGTTCTGCAGCAGATGACCCTGACTGCTTGCACACAACCTGCTCTCCTGCATCTCCTCCTCTTTCCTTCTTTAGGACACTCTTGTAAAAAGAGGCGAAAGCCCTGAGTTCCAAATCTGCTGTACAACTGATAGCTGGAAGAAACCTGCAAGGAGGCACAGTCCATGGAGAGGCACCTGGGGAGAGATCACAGCTAGGACTGCTTGTTTGTGCCGGCTGCCAGGTGTTCATCATTGCCTGGAGGGTTTGGCATGTCTGCCCTGTGCACAGGGGGAGACCATGGCATCGTGCAGAGCTAGCCAAGCTGTTGTCTCTGATGCTGCACAATTCAGATGTGCTGAGGGTAGAGCGTGCACACAAATACACAAGTCTGGTGCCAAAATACCTTTTAACATATTGTGCCGGGTCCTCAGTTAGAATAAAGCTCCGGAGTCTTGCTGAGGCCAGAGTCTAGACTTGCATGGTGCTGGGCTGTGGCAGGGAAGATGCATTTATCTGCCAGTCCTGTTCCAGCTGGTGAGTGATGCTCACTCTGGTTGGAAGTCACCTTGGAGGGAAGCTTTCACTGCTCACTCTGCTAGGCAAGCAGGAGCATCCTGCTTAAAAATTATTGTTCTTGATACTGCTCTGATTAAGAGCTGTTTTTTCTGCATAAAGCCATGTGGGCTGAGAGCCTGCAGTTGGAGCTCAGTATTGATAAATGGCACATTTGCTTCACGGATATGCGAGGTTTAATTCCATTCTTGTTCAGTCAACAGTGGTCCCATCTTAATAAAAGAGCATTAGTTAGTGATTTTTGTCCAGTTCCCCCCCTCTTCTGTTGGCTAAGCAGTTTTTAGCATGAGCTTGTAGAAGATAGCGCTTGCCTTAAGGACCTTTCTGCCCCGCAGGCATCATGATTGCAGGAGCTGCAAGTGTGCAGGAGATGACCCTGGAGACATGCAGTCGTTCTGACATTTACATAATGTTTCTTGCTCAAAGGGACCCTATTTTCCCCCTAAAGTTAAGGCTAAACTTAGTATAGGGCTTCATTGTCACCTTGAGGAAAACAGGGCATGGCAAATTTACATATTAATTGGTTGAGGGTAGGTCTCTTGGGGGGGCAATTATACATGATATTGGTGTGTCTTTTAGAGCAAGATGAACTGTGGGCACTTGTCCTACACCATCCCCTCTGCATCTGACTTTTACTGGACCTAGCACAGTCCTGTGTGTAGGAGGGAGGTGAAATACTGTTTGGGACAGATTTTTGCTCAGAACCCATACCTTAACGATCCCCATCCCTTCCTTTTTTGTCCTTTGATGTATTTGCATTTTTAAACAGGAATAGCTGGGTTGGGGAAAAATACGGTTTTTTGGCTGCACAAAGGAAGATGAGCCTTCGGCCCTGTCCCCCTTAGGTGGGAAGCAGCAGCACCATCCTGAGAACAGCCTTTGTCAGCCCTCTGAGTAGACACAGGATGTCACTGCGATGAAGGTCATTTGCAAAAACTGGGCAAAAAACCTGAAAGATACAGTCTGGAAAGGTACTCACCATTAAGAAATATGGAATAGGGCTGGAGAACTGGGTGGGTATGATTTCAGTTTCTGAACAGGGGCCAAACCACACTGATCCAGATGAGTGTAGAAATCTGTTGTAAATCACATTGCTTAGAGACTCTGCACTATGGGCAATTGTAGCAGTAGTAGGTTTAAGTAGTAGGTCTAAGCATAGTTTTAAAGGTTTATTATTAGAAAGTGTGCTCTATAATTCTCAAACCGCTGCTGAAAACAAGAAAGCCAGTTCACACTTGGAGCTATCTCAGCCTTTGTTCTTAAGGAGAGAATGTATTATTTCTGCATTAATGAATGAAGTGTTAGCAACCATCTAAGTTAGAAGTAATTCTTATAGTAGAGAGTTAATTTTACTTGTTCTCTTTGTTTATATACAATGTTTTCATTGTAATTTCCCCATTACTTAAATACATCATACATTGGGATTTTATTATGCAGGAGGCTTGTAAACATGCACATTTATATACTGTATAGACAATTATGGAAATATGGCACTTGTATAAAATCCAAGTGAATGTAATGAATGATAGAAAAGATTTCTAAACACCTGAGCTCACTGAAGAAAGGGAGGGAATCATCACCTTAGGAAAGCTTAGCGGGATCTTAGTAACATTTATGTCAGTCCCACCTTTTGGGAGAAGCCTAAAGCTTTGGGCCTACTGGGCAAAAAGCTGTGCTGATTTATGCCAGCTAGAGCCCAGAGTTACATGCCACAATTTATTTTTTCAGACTGAACTTGTGCATTCTTGCTATGACATTGACATTCTTTCCTGTAGCTGTTGCTATGAGAGGGTGGGCTATCAAGGCTGGAAAGTGCAGCTTCTCTCATGCTCTTCCCAGTCCCAGGGAGGTCACAGTAAGCAGTTAGTGCCAATCACTGCTGCAGGCAGTGCTGTAGATTAAAGGCTTCATTAACTCCAGTGTA